CCCCCCCCCCCCCCCCCCCCCCGACTACAGCACATCACACCAGTACCAGTACCAACACCAGATTCCATACGATAGCCGCACTCGCGGAAACCAGATGCGAAAAAAAAGAAACAAAGAAAGAAAGAGAGTTTGTTGTTGCCCTCGTCTGACATAGCCTGAAGTACCATCTATGTACCTCGTACGATTATGCTCATGAGACTATGTATGTATGTATGTATATACATGACACAGCTTCCGTGGCAACACCATCATCACATCACATCACATCACTCCACAGCCAGACTCAAAAAGAAAAAGAAAAAGAAAACTTCCCATGAATTGGGAATTTCGCCAAAGCGCAAGGAAAAAGGAACATGCCACCACGCCGTTGGACAAACAACCATTGCCATAAGTACGGTGTACTGTGGGGAAAATAAAACTCAACTTCTCACCCAGTGGTAGTAGTAGCCAGTGCTACTTACTTACCTTGGCTATGCAGTTCGTTAGCTAGACGAGCACATGTAGAACAACAACAACAACAACAGCAACAGTAGCAGCAGCTTTCTACGTCGGTGCCGTTTAATTCCCTCACGCACTCACAAGAGGAGAGGGTTTTATTTTTCTTCTTGCCCCCATTGCACGCGCGTTCGTGCACATGCACTTGTGTAGATGTGAGTTTCGGCGTGTATAGCGTGTAGATGGATGCATGCATGCATCCATACTTAGCGCTACTGTAAGTAGTGCATCCCAAGACTGGAACCCAGATAGCGGCCTTTTGAAACTTAAACCTCATGGCCCTGTGGCTTGTGACCTGAGAACAAGCACAAGTGAGCAGTGTTATTTTAGTAGGTTTAGCAGACCGCATCTAGTAGCGGTGGCGCCGGCGCGCGGCGGACTCTTGTGGCTATGTGGCTCTGTGGCTCTCCGTGGGCTGTGTGTGGCTGTGGGCTGTGGCGGTGAATGTGGATACGTAGTGGTAGTGGTAGTGGTAGTGGTAAGTAGTGACAAACCCGCCCCCCCCATCCCCCTTCAAAAAAAACAATAGTCAGAGCAAAAGCTGAAATTGACGCAAAGTGGGGCGGATTGTACACTTAGCCTCTTTCTCTAGTGTAGTGCTAGCGCGCAAGACAGCCATCCCACTTTTTTTTCGCATGCAGCTTCCCCATCTGATCCACTCCACTTCTTCCCCCTCCCCCCCCCCCGGATTTTCCGCCGTCGCCACTAAGGTGTCATTTAGTGTGATGGCTACCAAACTTTTTTTTCCCTCCCTCCTTCTTTGCGCGACCCATTGTGTTTTTTTTGTGTGTGTGTGTGAGTGTGTTTGGCTTTGCCCACTTGAGAATTTTAGCACAGGCTGAGTATCTTTTACACTTGGTGTATCTGTATACGCACTTACTGTAGAGACACACACACACATACATACACATACACATACATACACACATATATATGTGTACACAAAAGCGGCCACCCTTACATTTCCAACCAAAACCCACCCCCCCCCTTCGCCCGCCCCGGAAATATTTACACGTCACTTACTCGTCACGTTTTTTTTTCTGTTTCTTTTCTAGTAAATCTTTTTCATATATATACATATATATATATATATATATATATGGGATATGAGGATTTGCATTAGCTAGCTAGTCCAAGTCCAAGGGGGGTGCGCGCGCATTTGCGTTGGAACCATGGCATGAAGCTAAGAGGCAAGGGAAATATACTTCTTTCTTGTCCTAGTGTTTGTTTGTCGGGTCTCACCGGACAATGGTTTCAAGTGGAGTCCGTCTCCAGCAGCTTCTGCAAGAGTGTCATCTAGATTGTGCCAGCACGGCAATGTTACGTCTGCCAGTGTTGGGGCCAAGCACGTGTGGGGTTAGATCGCCGGATTTTGCTTTGGGACATGAATCATCACGAGCGAGTTAGTGTCGCACTGGTGCATGTATCATGGCAAATGTGTGCGTGTGTGTGTGTGTGTGTTGTCAATCATAATCAAGATTGAATTTCATTGTTATTTGCTAAACCATCAAATAAACCTAGACTATGTGATTTCCCCCTGAATTGCACCACCCGCTAAGCAATAAGAAACAAAATGGTAAGGCCCTCTCTCGTGAGAGCAGGACGATTGCGTTCCGGGTATCAAGAAAAAGACTTTTGTTGATGACCCGAGGTTTGCGCCTGGCTCCTCGATGGTTGTGAATGTGATGTGTGTGTCGTAAAGAAAACTTTTTGTTGTGGTTTTACAGATGAATGCCTCCCCGGAAACGCCGTGCTGATGGGAAATGCTTGGACGAGAGAATCAGGACCAGCTCTCAATCGTGGTCGTAATAATCGTGTTGAATAGTGACAGAGAAGTGAAGCGGACAAGGAGATGCGCAGGCACTGGCAGGGCACTCTACTGGTGAGAGAATTGCCTGCTCAGACGCTGCCACGCGTGCTCCATGCTCTTGCGGACACCGTCCCGGTCGCACTCGACACTGGAAGCGCTAGAGGCTGAAGAGGCAGAGCTCTGGCGGTAGGTTCGGGGCTTCATCTCGTCGACAAGGTTTCCGGCGCCGCCACGGCCAATGTGATAGACGGGGGCTTGCTGAGAGCGAATGCGTTCTTGCTGTTGCAGCTCCTCGTCGAAGCTGAAGATGGCGCGCTCAGACCTCCTCATGTTGCCGGCACCGCCACGGCCAGTGGCGTAGATGGAGTTTGAGGGTGGAGGAGGCAGCTTGGTGCGGGATGCTGGGCCAGAGGCAGTAGGACCGGCAGTGACCTCAGTAGGCTTGATGCGCATGGCGTTGCCAGCGCCGCCGCGGCCAGAGTACATGTAGCTGGAGGCCGATGGGTGCGGCTCGCTGATGTGGAAGTTGACCATTTTGAAGGTAGGGGTGACTGCTAGTGAAATCGTGGGGTAGCGTCGGCAGCAATGTCTTTGTGCGTGCGGTAAGATGGATTGATGGCTGATGATGGTAGTGGTAGTGCCTGAGCAGAGCGTCTGGGGTAGAGGGTTTATATGACAAAGTGACCTGGACTGATCACGATGCCGTTTGTTACTCCTCACGGCACGACCAGGGTGCTTTCAGAGGAAAAAGCCCCCATGAGCAGGCTACCAGAATTTTCGGCGCCACGCAACGAACCAAGGCGCACGAGGCCTCGGCGAGACTTTGCAGTTAACGGCAAGCCAGAGATCATGCGTCCCCTACCAAGGCGAGAGAAGGAAATTTGGCAGCGCCCTGAATAGTTTACCATTACCCCCTCAAAACGCGGTGATTGGCCGGGCAGAGTTTCTCGGGGGTAAGAGATTGCCAGGGGACAGGTCAGGTGCAGCCGAGAGCCATACGCGGTACGATCGAGGCCATTACGCCATTGAAAGAAAGCGCCGGGGCTTGGGTCCGGTCACGGCCAGCCGAAGCTTGCAGTCGTCGCCCGTAGCGGGCGGTAGCCGAGGGGCTGAAAATTTGATCCATGGCGAACAATGTCACAGCCTGGGCCCATGTGCCAGCTTCCGCGAAGCGCCAGGCCATGCTTCCCGCCGGAGAATGTGGAGGCGGGAAGAGATTTTTGTGCTAGCCCTGCCTGCGCCGTCATGCAATGCCTGCGTGCGCGCGGCGTGGTGCCTGGCCGGGCTGCCATTGACGAGAGGCGGCCTGGCAGTCGTGTCGTGGTGCGCAATCTCTGATGGCGATGACGATGGCCGTGGCCGTGGGCAGCATGATGTGAGGCCTTGTCGCAGCTGCGACTGCGGCTGTTGCGTCGACGACAATGCCCATCATGGCCGTGCCGCCAGGGTGCTACCGCGTCTCGTGTCTGGCCCTGGGCGGCCTCGTCCGCAAAGGGATACCGTGCCCGGCGGCATCTTTGCTGCTCTGCTGACCACACGCACACGTCAAGCCCGAGCGTGCTACTTTCCTGAGGAGGCGGTGCGCATGACGTCGAGCATCGTGACGTCTGGGCGGCGGCGAGCGTGCGAGTAGTGACGGCGCATACATACGTGTACGTGTCCTGGGACGACCGGTGCAGTCCCCCTGTGATCAGGTACTGTGCCTGTGCCTGAGCCTGCAGCGCCCACGTCGTCGTTGCAGTCGCGGTCGTGAGTCGTGAATGGAGCCGGCGGGGACGGACAGCGCCATTGCCATCACACCATTGTCGACGAGATTTCACGATGCTTGGCAACGCACGCGCCCCTTGGACGTCGCGCCGTCGCCTCGCCTCGCCTCGCCCACTCCCATTACACATACTGTAATGTACATGCACACACACTCACGGCCCCCCCCCTCCACCCCGACCACAGTCGACGCGCACTCGTCGCTGCAGGCTGGCACGTTGTTTTTTCGTCGCTGCGCCCGGTCTGCGCTCCATAATCATTGCCATTGGGGTATTCCAAAGCGCTCACAAACGCCAGCCATGCACAACCGTCTCGCGCTGCAGCCCCCCCTCGTACAGATTACATAACCCCCCCTCCACCTCACCATGGCGCTTAAGTAACAGAAACGCACTGAAATGCGGGGGAAGCAGGCTACTCCAGTAGCTCTCCCGTTCAGGAGCCACGGCTACCGGCTGACACGTAGATCCGCCTTGTCCCAACCAAGCATGCAGCCCCCCAGGTTTTGTCCATGATGGTTGGCTTGACCCCCCCCCCCCCAGCCGTCGCATCCCCATTTCCATGACTAACTGTAACGTAACTGCGCTACCACGCTCCCATGCGCTGCCCTTCTCGAACCCAACCGCGGAGACAAACGGGACGACATCAAGCGCGTGCGGAGAAGGCCTGGCTGCCACAGGGGCGCACTGCACGGCGCGGTGCCTTATGCAAACTTGGTGTGGATAATATCGGGGTTTTCCTGCCACTCGTCCTTTTCTACCCACATCTGTATTCACGAGTCAGCCCAGCGCCTCTCCCCTTTTCCCCAGCCCACGCCCTACTTACCTTCTTGAACGTGCTCAGGCCCGCTAGAATGCTGCCGCCAGTCCACGTGGTGTAGATGCGCTCTGGCGGTGCTAGAATCTTAATCCTCATGTCCTTCACCGCCAGTCGTTGCACCTCGTGGAGCAGACGGTTTCCGAACCCCTTTGTTAGCGTAGACCCACCCGACAGCACAATGTTGCCGTATAGCGCCTTTCGTAGGTCCATGTCGGTTCGGTGAATGGCCTCGACGACAATCTGGTGCACACCGGGATACTCTAGCCCAATAATCTCCGGGTTGAAGAGGATTTCGGGGGCTCGGAAGCGCTCCGCACCAACCTAACGCCTGTCAGCTAGCATCCTCAACTCCACATGGCTGTGTGTACAACGCACCTTGAGTTTTTGTCCGTCCGGCAGCGTGTAGTCGATGCTCTTGCCCTCGGACCTCGACGACCCTGACCAGTCCTTCTCCTCCTTGGCGGGGTCCAGTGCCACATAGCCCGTCGCCTCCTTGATGTTCTTGACAGTCTCCTTCTCGGCGCTCGTGTGGAAGATACGGCCGCTTTTCCTGAGCAGCTGCTGGAAGTGCTCCGTGACGTCTCGGCCTGCCACGTCGATTCGCCGGATGCTGTTTGGTATCGCAAACCCTTGGAACACCGGAACCGCGTGCGACACGCCATCTCCCGAATCCAGCACGAGGCCCGTCGTCTTGCCCGACGCATATAGGGAGAGCACGGCTTGCACCGACGAGTAGAGGGCGGGCACGTTGAATGTCTCAAACAGAATCTGTGCCGCCGTGTCGCGGTTTTCTCGTGGATTCAGCGGAGGTTCTGTGAGAAGGACGGGGTGCTAGTTGTGTCGTCGTCAGCTCCATGCCCCTCCACCGTAGCAAATCGCCGCCTCTGCCCTAGCCGCACTCACATCTTCGCTGACGGTCCTCAAGCCCTCCGTGTAGACATACTGCCATATTCTCTCCATGTCATCCCAGTCTGTGACAATGCCGTGCTCCAATGGGTAGTTGATCTTGAACAGCCCCCTGTACTGTTGTGCCTGCGGCCCTATGAAGACGTCCCCCTCCAATGCGCCTGCCATTGTCCGCACATGCTTCGGCCTTCCTACATATGACGGAAAGAAGCATTTGGGCACATCCTCGCCTGCGAACCCGGCACGGATTGTGCCGCTGCCATTGTCTATTACAATGGGAGCATTGTGTAATCGGGAGCCCATGGCGCGGACTGGCGGGAGGAAAACGTCCTGGGATTTGCAGCGGCGAGCTTGCTTCGGCGATGGCTATACGTAGACGGTAGCTTTGGCGGGGCGGAGAGCGGTTGTCGTGGCTGCTTCCCCAGGCGGAGCTTCTTCTGAGTCGCGAAAGTTCACGACGCGCTTCGGCACCGTTGGCAGGGGTACCCTCACCGCATCACGTGCTGCCGCCTGCACCCCGACTTGTGGAGGGGCCTGTGACGCCATCGGTCGTCTTGTTTTGTTTTTGCTTTTTTTTTGAATCCATCCCTGTCGACAGCCTCCTCTGAGAATATGTTGAAACTGTACAGAAATATGGATGGTTGCCTCATTATCAATCCCGGACAGTATGGATCGACCCCGCGTCATCCGGCACCATGTAGCACTGATGCAGTCCAACATCGAACTTAAAATTATCATCTTTGGATTTCAGTCGTATCGGTCATACGAAGCATGTCTTCTGCTAAGCCGGCTCCAGTCCTCGAGGCCCTCACCAGCGCCCTCAATGTCCCAATCCAGAAGCGTGAGGATTCATTCTACGAGCCCAGGCAACAGGGCTACTATTCTCCATCTCCAGAGGGTACTTGGCAACTAGCACAGACAAATCAGACACATGCGCCAAATCACTCGCTGCCGGCCCTGAATAGAAGAAACATCCGTCTAATTTCCTGGAACATTGATGTCCTGACTCCGTTTCACGAGGAGCGGATGAGCGCGGCACTCACTTACCTCGATGAACTCGTCTTTTCGACACCACCTGACGTTGCCATTGTCGTTTTTCTTCAAGAGATGGGCACTTCCGACATGCAGCAGATACGGGAATCAGTGTGGATAAAGAAGCGTTTCTATCTCACTGATGTCGATGAGACAAGCTGGCTGAGCCCTTACTATGGCACCACCATGCTTGTAGACCGACGGCTGCAGATCAACTCTGTGTTTCGTGTACCGTGGTACAGTAAATTCGACAGAGATGGCTTGTTTGTCGACATTTGCATCTCAGAATCTGCTAAAGCGAATGCTAACCCGAGGTTCATACGGCTGTGTAATACCCACCTGGAGTCTCTGGTTGCAGATCCACCTGTTCGTCCTATCCAAATAGCAGTGGCCAGCCAGTATCTCCATCAAAGCAGTGTCTCGTGTGGTGTAGTGGCCGGCGACCTCAATGCTATACAGCCTTTTGATCGCACCCTGCACACGGAGAACAAACTCAATGATGCCTATCTCATGTGTGGTGGCAGCGAAGACAGTGAGGATGGATATACGTGGGGCCAGCAAGTCCCAGAAGCTCTCAGGAATAGATTCGGCTGCAGTAGAATGGATAAAATTTTGTACATGGGCTCAATCCAACCTACAAGTTTCGAGAGAATCGGTATTGATGTCAAGGTGGCGGAAGAGCATAGACAGAAGATGAGAGAAGCCGGACAGCTGGAATGGGTCACGGACCACTACGGTGTAATGGCTGATTTTGTGCTACTTGAGGGAGGGGAGTTGGGTCAGATAGGACAGTCAGCGATGCTGTGAGTGGATCATCTTGCCCTGTCACTCACGGTGGTTGTTTGAAAGAGACATGTTGAAATCAGACCGCTATGATCATTACTGAATACTGTAATTCCAGAACAGAGAATGTTAACAAAACTATACCACAGCACAAAGCCCACAATTGAAACTTCTCATAAGCGACCTACATAGCCAGCATGCAATGCAGTCTTGGATACCCGAGAACTCCAGCCTCCAAACCATCACTGTAAGAACTGCAACGGGCGCGGATTGCCCCAGTGATCACTAGGATTGAACCTCCAGCATCCCTTGTGCTTCCTGGAAAACCAGTACGCATTCAGCCACGGCACGATGAAGGGAACGGGAGGGAAATCAGCGCTGCCGGGATAGTTTCGGTCTATGCACCCCAGGACCAGCGGTATGACCAGTTTCTAGAAATCCTATAATCAGCGCTGCGTTATTGCAGGAGTGGGTTGATGGATGATAAAAAAGAGGCGTGTACGTACAGGATCAGCAGACTTTGCAAGCTCGTCGGCAACTTCCTTCATGATGCTCTGGACCTTGTTGCCATCGCACTTCTCAAGCCCTATCAGCGTGTCGATTTCGTCATGGAGATGCTGCGTCAGGAGAGGCGCAAAGCTGTCAATCAGCTTCTTGAGCTCCTGAGCGTTGTACTGTTGTGTGCCGGCTGCAACACCCTTGGCCCAGTCGACAGTCTTTGCCATTTGCGGCTCAAATCCATGGTGCTGCTCCACGTTCCCATGCATGTTGCACGGCTGGCCTGCTTCTTTTGCCAGCGCCTCGTACCGGGGGAAGATGGAGGTTTCTTCGCCCGAATGGTGGTGGTGAACGGCATCTGCCCATGCGCTTATGTACAGCATGAAGTCTGCGACATCTTTTGGATCCTTGAAAAAGGGAGCCTGGAGGTAGATGGCGTTTAGACCGCGAAGGATCACGTTATGGGCGTTTGCCATTTCGATGCATACGCTCATGACGCCGGGGTTGACACATGTCTGTGCGCCAGGTTGGCCAGGAATTTTGACGAGAGCAAATGGCCCATCGGCCCATATGGCAGGTGTTGCTTTGGTTGCCATTTTCCTGGATATGGTGCTGTAGAAGTGCGATTATCGGATAGGGCCATATCGAGGCCTTCCTATTTAAACTTGCGTGGTGATAAAGGCATGCCATCTCTTCGACTCAAGTTGCACGCCTTACCGATATTCTTGTCCAGTGACAAGAGTATGTATGCCATTGTTACGACTCAAGCTGCACGCCTTACCAATGTTCTCATCTGGCATTCGACGATGGAAATGACGTACGCCCCGTTGTTGGATCCACATGGTAGATCTATGTAAGCCGTATACTGCTTAGGGTTGCGCCATCTGGCTTACCGTAAGACTCACGCTCTCAATACTTGAAATTGCTAAGTGGCTCTACGCCATGCGTGGACAACGAACCAGCCTTGCCGGGAATAGGCTTGGGCGAATCCAGAGTCTGAGAAGCGCCCCGCCAATTCATCCAGGGTGTAGCGCCCATTTTTCCAGACCGGAATAATTGCTTGATACAACCAGAGCGAGAGAATATGCGCGTATAATCTCGGTTGCTGATCTCCTGGCGCACAAATTAGACGACCTTGGTAGTGGTGTCAAAAGCCTAGTTCAACGGGCATGGATCGTTCGTGAATTATGTCCAGCTCCAAGGCCAAGCGTTTGCAGATCAACGACATGTTAAACAGGAATAACTAAGCGTTGGGATAGATTGGACTGTTGTCTTGCATTGTCGAAGATGCAGAAGAGGCATGGCCAATCGCACACGCCTGAAAATGAGCGCAAGACTAGCGTCTTGGCAGCTGATACTCCTCCTTCTAGGTCAACCCAGAGCCACCACCTTGTTGTTTCATCGACATTGCCAAAAACAGGCATTATGGATATTTTGCCGGTATCCCGAGAGTCGTCAGCCCGAGAAGTATCATTGTCTCTATACTGGCCCTTTACCATGTGCTCAACAACCACAGCGATGCTGCACAAGACCAACGCCTTTGCGAGAATTGGATGAAAAGTCAGTGTGAGAGTCTCGGCGACTGTTGGAAATATGTGGCTGACTGATGCTGGTAAACTTTAAGTCCATGGCAGGGATGGCATACATGACTGGGAATCGTCGGGTGCATGGGTCATTTACCCCAACCCAGCCATCTCAATTCACGTACATGCATTGGTCCTCTGGCGGGTTGCCGGATATGCAGTCACGTTGAACATGCCACCATGGGTTCAGCGCTCTTTTGTACCGTCCGCGATGCCGCGTGAGATATCTCAGCCTATCCACTGGAGCATTCTTGTCGACAGCCCCTCGAATAAGAAAACATGCGCAATCAGTTGCTCGTCATCCCAGACGCACGGCTCGTCTCCCCGTCCTAACGTGTAGTGGTAATATACATGCAATAGATTATGTCAAGCGCATGCCCCGGCTATAAATTTACTACTAGATTTGGCATACACCGCGCAGTGATATGACTGGCTACCTTTGCTGCTTATGTTCTGGGCTCCGTCTTTCTCCAGTCTATCGCCTCCGGCTTACTGCCGGTCTGACCTTTACTTGCCCTTTTTATTGGCTCAACAAGACCCTAAATACCTCTTTATTCCCGTACGTCCACAGCCACTCCCACTCGTCCTAACGCGCGCACCCGGATTCGCCGTCACCATGAAGCTCGCCCTACTTGCCAGCGTTTTGGCCGCAGCTGCCCTTGCAACGTCACTCGCCAAAAGGCAGGCAACCGACACGGGCAAGTCGGATACATGGCAGCCAGCAGCCAGCACCAAGGCCACCTGCGATACAACATGTGGCAAGCATATCAGCTTCATGCGAGGCCCCCAAATCGAGACTGTCATCAACAATGCATGCGCTGCCATGATGCCCCCCTGCGCTTACAGCGCTCGTCAAGCGGAGCCCATCATATGCACACAAACTATCGACTTCAAGCTTGATGGACCCAAGAACAGCACACAACATGCCAACGTACTTGACCACGATGGAAACAGTATCATCGGCTGGGACGTCAAGTGTAAGCATCTATGAGTAGTCCGGTACTTCCGACTATGCTAACTACGTATCGCAGTTGATGTAACACCTGCTGCCCAGCCCAAGGATTCACCCGGCGTCTTCTGGCAAGTAAATGACTGCTACGGCTACTTTGCCAACCTTCTTCAGAAGCAGGGGCCCGACGGCTGCTATAGTGCTGTCGGCTCTGGTGTTGGCAGCATCACAGTCGGCGGCGACAGCACGTTGGCAGGCACAGTGTTCAAAGTTAGCATTGTTGCCAGGACGGCTTCTTAATGAATTCTGCTATTCGCTTATCCCGTCATCCGTCTCTTCTTCCAAGATGAACCCATTCCAAGCTAAAGACGACTGTATCATATCTTCACAACTTCATATTCCCAAACAATATCAAATCCATCGCCAGATTTCCTCAAAGGCGACCTCAGATGCTCAGCTCTCGCATAGCATCCGACCAATCAAACCTATCAAAATCAGACAATCAATCTGACCCCCTTTTCCACTGTCTTTCAAAAAGCAAACGAAAAGTAGCAAATATGATATAAAACGCCGCATATGTCGCCGCGTTTGCTCATTGGCTCGCTCAATCGCATCATCATTCTAAATAACCACATCAGTACGCACAATAGCTTGGCCAAGGTCTTTTCGATCCGATTCGTTGCTGCCAGGGTAATTTAGGCATGGGCGAAAGACCCTGATTCTACTTGAATGGCAGTATCCCGATATTCAAAAATAATTGCCAAAGTGACGCAACCGACAGTAGTCAATGGAAAGGCAAGATGACTATGTTTATTCTCCTGAATGCAATGGATTGTATAGGGCTTATGGCGAGAATTATATGTATACTGTACTGTGAGATGTGTATAGCTCTTTTGGGGTCTTGTTCCATCGAGTAATGAGTTGATGATGCAATACCAGAATAAGGTAACTTTGCTATTCGGAATCTGGTAAGTAGTAAGTATTTGTAAGAAAACCTTGTTGTGAGCCTTGGCTATGTTAAACTACGCAGATATACCTCTTGGCATCACTGGAACTAGTTATAGTAAAACCTCCCTTGATATTAGTAAATACACAGTCAGTTCAAAGGTCGTAGAAAACTACGTAGGTACGCTGCATTTCTTGAAGTACCTACGGGCAGAGTATTCCAAATTATATCTGTTTCAAGGCGCTTTCCGTGATTAAAGCGATGGCGCAAAAAGACATCAGCAACCAATCAATACATTATAACTGGCGGGAAACTTACTCATCCATATTCCTCTAGTTCCTTATTCCAACAGTCTCTGTATAGAGCTCGGAACAAAAGTACGGTCAAAATGCGGCAAAACACATGTCATGCCATCGCCAAGCCGGCACCCACGTCACCATCCGGCCGTCGTCATCGCCCAACCCAGCCTCGCATCGTGAACATCGGTTCCCACCCGTAGCTACGCTAACAACAAGTATCTCGTGAATTTAGTAATGTACTCAGGAACCGAGGCCATCTGAGCCTATGGATCAACGCCAGGGGCCAAGTCTGGGGCACTTGGCAACCTCGGATGTTTGCCTTGTGCAGACGGCATGTATGCACCCTACTTTCTAAACTTTGAACAGCGTGGCTGGGGGCAATGTGTCCTGCTAAATGGTACCGTGAAGACAGGGGTCTGGATAAGTATAAGCCAACTCCGTAACACCCACATCGCTTGCACCATCCACTCTACAATTCCAACTGCGAATCCAAATCCAAAATGCGCATCGCAAGCACCATTCTCGCCTTGACGTCCGCTGCCTCAGGCATGCTCTTCCCTCGCGCCGATGCCTCCACCAACGACACGACACCTTCCAGCCCCAATGTTGTCGCAGCACACTACGACGGATCCTGTTTCTACCCTGTGCCCGATCCCACGTTCAATCTCAACAAGTACCTCGGGACGTGGTACCAGGTTGCCGGCACGCCATTCGGACCTACCGCGGGCGCGCGCTGCGTAACGGCCAACTACAAACTCAATGTAAGATTTACATACATATCAACAACCTGTAGCCTAGCGGGGACAATGCTAACCATCAAGCCAGGACAACGGTACAGTCCGTGTTCTGAACAGCGCTGCAGCGGGTCCTTCAACCTTTAGTATCACTGGCACAGCCACACCCGTGGATCCTGCATACGGCCTCGCAGGAGCTTTCAAAGTCGAGTTTCCCAACACGCTTTCGCAGGACGGCGATTGTCGCGGCCCCAACTACATTGTCCAAGGTACGTTGTAGAATTTAAGTCTTGATAGGTGAACTCGGACAAAAAAAAGCTGATATCAGAACCCAGACTACGCTGTTGATTGGGCGATTGTGCAGACGCAGAAATGGAATACGCTGTATATTCTAAGCCGTGTGCGCCAGCCATCCGAGGAGGGCATTCAGGCGTGGATTGATAGGGCTGTGGCGTTTGGATCAAATAGAGAGGCTATTATTAGGTTTAATCAGACGGGGTGTGAGGGCATGAATGCGCAGATGTAGGGAGGTGGTAGGAATGGCGATGGTAACTATATCGTATAGGAAGAAAGAATAGTATGCAAAATGAAATGCGTCCATACTTAACATGCAGTACAATAGTCAGCTCCCTTGGTCCTTTCTTTTTCTTGTTTGGATACTGGAATGCATTGGTATTGGCTGTTAGTCGTTTGTAAGAGTTGGATTAAACCAACGAGACGAGACGTAAGCTTGCAGGTTTGTTCACCCCAGTGGACATTAGCTTCGAAGTGTTGGTGCGTTTGCAGTTATAGGAGACATCTCTATGTAAGTAAATTGAGATGTTAGCGAATTCGCCTAGTAGTATCTAGATTAATATGGCACTAGTTGTGAGTGCTGACGGACATGAGAGGCCCTGAGAAGGAAAACCCGCAAGGCCAAACCACGGGCTGAAATTCAATCAAACGCACATCACTGGAATACTGGCCGCTGCTCAGCATGAGCATCTGACTTTGGCATCTGAACAACCTGTTGCGGCCATTGTGGAACAGGTTGATACCCCGGCCCCCCATGCTGCGCCGGTTGCATAGGCCATTGCTGTACAGGCTGCTGGTTCCATTGTCCTGCTGGCGGCCCACCATACGGCGCCTGCGGTCCTTGCGATTGCATCTCATACATGCCACGGAACCCAGCGTACCTGCCCTTGCCACCAGACACCCACTTGATGCCACCCCTGGACCTGACAATCACCCAGAGACTTCCAAGTACGCAAATGGCAGCGAGAGCCATGGCCAACAGGAGATAACGCATTGCCTGCGTAGTACCACACACAGATCCAGCCCAACCCTCGCGTGGAAAGAACTTGTTGATCTCGCATGCCCACGTCTCCCTCGTATGCTCTTGGTTTGGAGCGCTTGCATCCTTGTACGTCTTCCAGGTTGCGTCGCCCGCCTGAACAGACGTTGCATAGCCAAAGACTGCCACGCTGCCGGCCGCCATCATGACATTCAGCACCAGCACGACCCAAACCCACATCCGCTCATGCCGTGCGGTGCCTTGGACTTTTTTCAACTGCCATATGCCCGATAGACTCAGCCCAGCCACCACATACGCCACCAAGCATGCCACCGAAATTGCAACCCCAGGCCCGATTTTGGTGAGAATCGTGACTTCAATTGCGGCGCTGTTGTCAGGGGGGTGCAGATCGATTTGGAAGTTTGCGTCGAGAGGATTGCTGTCAACCCGGTTGTAGAACTTGTTTCTGGACACGCGGTCGAGAACGTTGATTATGGCGGCGATGGGGAAGAGTAGGAAAAGAGGTGGTGCGAGAAGGAGGACGGTGCGGCCGCCATTGGATACGGGCATTGCGGCTGTGGCTGTGGCTGTGGGTGCGCGCTGAGGGCAAAAAGTATTGTGTAGATGATGATACTAGCAATAGGAAATGAGTGTCAGAAGAAGAGGACAGGTCCCCTTTTCAAAGAGGATGGCCAGACTGCGGTATCGGTATGGCAGGGCAGTTTAGCGGTGGTCGCATTGACAAGGGACGCCTAACTCTGCGCTTGGGCGTACTTAGACACAGCTATGCTTGGCAACCGCGAGAGAGTTAGCGGGCTTCAGCGCGACTGTTTTGATGGTTGTAGGATACCACGTCGCGATGTGTTGGCACAGCCACCTTAGTTGACACAGCCACTTAGCAGTATGTGTTGGAGCCGGTGCGCGTCTGCTGGGGAAGGGCCGACCCTCTCAGGGCCTAGCCTGAGGACACCGCTGAGCTTCATACTCCACACTCCCACATTAGCAGGAAAAATTAACCAAAAAAAATAAAAAAAACATGCAACAGCGACGATTCGCCAGTGGTCACCCACCTGACTACTGAGTCGCCGGTAAACTGCTTGTGTAGGCTAGATCTGACGGGATGGCCAATATTCAATTTCCTGTGGTCGCATGTGATGGACTAGGTGCGTATGTCCAATATATACCACGTGATTTCCTAGAGTTAACGAACATAGCGACCTTCACGCGCTCACTTGTCGTATTTTGGTTGCAAAGCGGAAACACTGATGACTGCGCCGCGCTAATAGCAACACGTTTGAAATCACTTCATTCCAGCTAAGAACAAATGTTTAGAGTAGCTTCCTAGTTTATTATTGTCTCATAGTAACACAGTCGTCTTGGTAGTATTTCTTAGAGCGGGTGCGCCTGCTAACCCTCTCGTGCGCTAGCCTGAGAGGACACTAGAAATATCTCGGCTGAATCTTCCCGATGTAGAAACTTAACCTTGCTATTCTACTTGCCCGTAAAGCTGTTCGCACTGAGATGCTATCACGTGAAAAGAAAAGAGTATTATTCTAACTACCCTGGAGCATAAAAATAAGCGCCAATACACACCTTTCCAGAGTAGTAAGTCAACTAACCGCTTAGCTGTAGTCTGTTTGACCTTTGCCTATCGGATGTTGTCTGCTAATGGATTGCCCAGTAACTTTAACGTGGTTCACAAGTGAGTCGCTAACCCAAGCAAGTCGCTAACGCCCTACTACTACATCTACATCAACACGTTATTATAGTTTTTTATTATAGTTAATAAACTATTATAATATACTAAATTAATCATTAGAATTACTACTATTACTTACACTATTTATCTTAACTATATGTAACGGGCTGAACGCCCTTTAGATAGCTCCTCGATGGAATCTCGGTCAAGCAGCAGACGCCAGGTCTTACTCTGCAACCCGGCATCTGTGCGAGGCCTGAGCGGCGCCCAGACGACGCGCTCAGACACTTGGTGCAACCTTTCTCCGACAAGTAAATAAACACCACGCAAGTAGACTCTATAGCTCTCTATCGAATAC